GGGCTCAGCAGTGTTACCAGTCCTTCGTGTGTCTTTCAAGAAATAATCCCTGATTCTCTTAACAGACACATAAAGAAAGGAAGTCTTTTTAATATTGATAAAAATAATTTTGTAAAATGAAGCTATGACTTACGTATCGAATAAGTTCAGAGTATGTAGAACACTTAGAAATCAGAAGGATGATGGAAACTGTGGGAGTGCCAGCGCGTTACTGTTAGTCTGATCAAAACATAAACATGAACGTGGAGTTAAGATCAAAGGACCATCCATCTCTTCCTCGGTCCTTCCTCTCACGCGTTTGTGGGCCGACCGGCACGTGCCAGGAGCTGTTCCAGGTGGCGAGGTCCTATCCTCACCTGCGGGTGGCTCAGAAAAGCGTACTGCGCTGTGCTACGCCAGGATGGCTACGCCGTCCAGATGCCAAGAAGACAGGACGCCGCGTCCGGCCAGGCAGGGGTGTTAGGCAGTGGGATGTAGCTTCCTGGAGTTGGCGGTTCTGATCTGGCACTTGACAGATAATTGGGAATTAGCCGGACAGGAGACGGGGGAGGAGAGTGGCGTGAGGTGGCGTGCGTGTCGAATGCCCGGGAAGTACGCTCTGTGAGGTCGGGGGAGAGGCGAGCTGGACGCCCGCGATGCAGTCGCTGTTGGGAGGTGAAGGACGAGGCAGGGCAGCAAGAATGAGACTGGGAAGCAGGTAAGAACCTCATGACAAGGGCCTTTCATCCCCCGTGGGGCCGTAGCTTGTAGTCCCTGTGTGGCTTGGTGGATATGGCGACCTCAGCCAGGAATGGGATTGAATGTAAGAAGCACGGGGCACGGACGCAAGGGGTGAGAGCGCGTGTCTGCTGTCACGTGTCTGCGATGCCAGCCCAAACCTCACGGGGCCGCCCAGCCCGGCCAGCGCAGGAGGACGTAGGAGGTCGGATGTGGGCTCTGGTTACACTGGGGTTGCAAGCGGCATGTCGAGTGTGCCCCGGAACCACGAAAGCGGCTCTGAGCAGCAGAAACCCTCGGGGAGTAGGGGTGCTGTCGGGAACTGGGGTGAGTGTGCCGCCTGTCACAGGCACGGCCGTCCTCAGGCCGTCTCTGCCCCTCCCTGCGTTTTCCCTTCATGCTCTGCTGCGAGCTGGACTCTTCTGCATCCCAAGAAAAGACTGGCCCAACGCACCTGTTCTCAAGTCGCTGGCCCGTCCGCTTGGGCGAGTGGTGTCAGGGTCAAGGTTGGCCTGGCCACCAGGCCACCCTAGGTGGGACCGTTCCACTGAGGAGGGTCCGTTGTCGGCTGGCATCTTTAACAGCCTTACTGATCTTCGCTGAATCCGGAGTCCTCGTCTCAAATCGTGCGGAGATGGTCAGTGATGCAAGAGGTGACGGCCTAAGGAACGAGGAGACGTCCGCTCGCTGGAGCCACACGTGCTGGGGACCAGAGTGCAGCCCAGCGGGGTGCCTCGTCCTCACCACCCTCCTCAAGCTGTGCATCCCGGATGGACGATGGACGGCGCTCAGCACGTCAGTCGCCAGCCTTCTCCGGTGTTCCCGGCCCTCTTCAGCCTGGACTCCCCCATCTCGTCACCCATCGTGGGAGACACATACGTACTGGAAGGAGCCCGGCTTTCCCATCCATGGCTGGCTTCCAATCCTGGCGCTTCCAAGTAACAGCTGTGTCACCTCAGCAAGTTCCTTCATCTTGCCGAGCCTCGAGAATGTGCGTGCAGCACCGCCCTGCGCGCCCCAGCCCCGTATGAAACAGATGCAGCACAGTGCGGCATGACGCAGCCAGGACTCGGGGGAGCAGAGGGGCCGCGTGTGGCTGCCGTCGCTCCACCTCCACCTCCCGTAACTCCACCTCCCGTAACCCCAACTCCACCTCTCGTAACCCCACCTCCCGTCACTCCACCTCCCATAACCCCACCTCCACCTCCTGTAACTCCACCTCCCGTAACCCCACCTCCCGTAACCCCACCTCCCGTAACCCCACCTCCACCTCCCATAACTCCATCTCCTGTAACTTCACCTCCACCTCCTGTAACCCCACCTCCCGTAACCCCACCTCCCATAACCCCACCTCCACCTCCCGTAACTCCACCTCCCGTAACTCCAGCTTCTTCATATAACGTTCTGTATATTTTCTTTCTCTAACTGAACCGTCTGCCGTGCACCTTCGCGTCTCGGCCCCCGTCGGGTGAGGAGCTGGCGCTGGAGTCCCCTTGGCCTCGGGCTGTCGCTTTTATATTCTTCCGCCCTGTGCACCAAGTCCCACTACAGTGAACCCCAGTCCAGTTGGCTTTGGCACCACTCCAGCTTCTTCATATGACGTTCTGTATATTTTCTTTCTCTAACTGAACCGTCTGCCGTGCACCTTCGCGTCTCGGCCCCCGTCGGGTGAGGAGCTGGCGCTGGAGTCCCCTTGGCCTCGGGCTGTCGCTTTTATATTCTTCCGCCCTGTGCACCAAGTCCCACTACAGTGAACCCCAGTCCAGTTGGCTTTGGCACTCTTTGTCACTATCCTTGTACCGTCTGTGACCATCGCTTGTCCGAGGACTTCGGCATCTATGTGCTCGAATGACCCAGCCCCTAGTTTCAGGTCAGAGGCCGCCGGCCGTGAGTCCGGGCCCCCTCCCCACACCGCGGCACTGCTCAGGGCAGCCGCCTGCACTGGTTCTCTGCGCCCATTTGACGAAAAGTGTTGGGTGCCCTCACTGAGCTTGTGTTCTGCCTCAGAAACCCTTTCTCGTTCCTCTATACCGTTTCCTGCGCCCTGTGCTCAAGCTCGTCCCATCCTGAAAAACACGTTCCCTTTGCTGCCATGACACAGCTGTTACTGCAGTTTGTTTTCAGTTTCTTCCCAGTCTCGTCTGTGTTCTCATCTGCCTGAAGTATTTCATGTCTGTTTCCCGACTTGGATGCTGGTCTCTCCTGCCACCCGCCCGCAGCCTGGTCCTTCCTCCCTCCCTGCACGCTGCCGGGGTCTCGGTAACCACACTCACGTGCTCGGCGCCACTTCTGCACACAGGCTCCTGAAGCTGCCTTGGCTCCAGCGGGTCCAGCGTGGAACTCTCCCCGGCCCTGGCCCCTCTCCCATGTCCCCTCTCTCGCTGGGTGGCCCCCTTCCTGAGACCAGAAACCAGGGTCATTTCTGTTCAAGCCTCTTCTCCACCCCAAGCTTGGTGTTGCTGAGTCGGTCCCCAGGCCCCTGTGGTCACACCTCCTGAACACCTTGCTTGTTCATTCTCGCCTCCCCGTTTCTCTCACGTTCAGAGGCTTCCGTGGTGTCTTTCCTGGACTATTCTAGTAGCCTCTTTGTCTTTAACTTTTTGTATGTATAAAATAGAAAGGGACCCAGAGATAAATAAAACATAACCTCTGCCCTTGGGAAACTCGTGGTCATGGTCGGTCAAGGTCGTGGTCATGGGCAGGATGCACCAGTAGAAGCAGGTGCCATCTGCTGGGCGTGCAGGTGTGAGAGGAGGCAGCGGTTGGTGACCGTGGCGTCTGTGGCAGAGGCCCTGCGGCTGACGCCTCGGAATGCGTTTCCAGCCTCATGTTCTGTTCCACGTTGTCTCCTTCAGCAAGTTTGTCGATGTCCTGATCCGACTTTCTCAGGTTTGAGACATCTTGCTGCCTCGGTGGGCATCTGTTCAGGACTTTGACCTTCATTCAGTTAGACGGTGGCAGAGGGAGAGGTGTCACAAAGGGACCCTAGACAGGAGCGTCTCTGACACTCCGGTGTCTCCCTGGGTTAAGTGAGGCCCCTCTTGGGCAGACCGCGTCCACTTGCAAAATCCGCTCAGCCCAGGAAGCACCAAGGCGCCCGTTTCTTGAGTCTGCGTGCGAGCGTATGCAGGGTGCCGTCCGCGCTACCAACACGCCAGAGTCAGCAGATCGCAACAGCAGCCCAGGTAGTTCTACCCGTTTAATGAGAGTTAGGGCTCCATGTGGGGCAGGGTGACCAGCGTGCTCCCCGTCACCTCTGTGCTCTCCGGACCCATCTCCTGCACCCCGGAGGGCGGGGCGGAGTCACTGTGTCCTGTGTCCTGTGGCCTTGGCCTTGCGGAAGGGCAGCCCTCCCTCGGTGTCGGGCGACCTGAGATTCCGTACTGACCACCCCGCCTTGCTGGTGTCACCCCAGGGTCGTCTCCCTGTCTGAACGTGCTCTCACCTGGATGACAGGTAGTCCCCTCCCTGATAGAAGGTTAGGTGGGAGTGGAGACACCCGAAATGACGGGGGGAGATTCCGGCCGGCAGGAGAGCGGCTCTTCCCATGCTAGTGTCCCGCGGCGGTGCCGCCCTCCCTGGGGCCCCAGGCTCCGTGGTCCGCAAGCGCACCTGGCCCTCGGCCGTGTCCCGGCATGTGCTGCCCCAGCCCTCGGCGGAGCCGTGCTGGTGTATCACGCAGGGTTCGGTTAGCGAGGCCCTGGCCCCCGCCCCCCGGCACCCCGATCCTGTTCACGTCCTTTCCGTCACTTAGCCACCCTGTGAGTTTGTGTGTCCTCCAGTCGTCTGCACCCCAAAAAGATTAGAGCCCCAGGAAGCCAGGGACCTGGTCTCATCCCAGGCATCCGCCATGTCTGGGCGCTTGGCCACAGCCACTGTCAGCAGGCTGTGCTGGGCGATGGTCTCCACACGGCCACTTGTCGGCAGGCTGAGTGCTGGGCGGTGGTCTCCATGCGGCCACCTGTCGGCAGGCTGTGCTGGGCAGTGGTCTCCATGTGACCCCCGGCAGTGCTCTGCGGCGCTGGGTGGTGGCGGCCACTTGTCGGCAGGCTGAGTGCTGGGCAGTGGTCTCCACATGGCCACCTGTCAGCAGACTGAGTGCTGGGCGGTGGTCTCCACGCGGCCATCTGTCGGCAGGCTGAGTGCTGGGCGGTGGTCTCCACGCGGCCACCTGTCGGCTGGCTGAGTGCTGGGTGGTGGTCTCCACGTGACCCCCGGCAGTGCTCTGCGGCGCTGGGTGGTGGTCTTTTCCGCTCTGCTCATGCCCGCTGTCTGTCTTTCAGGAGGCCAGCAGCCGGGACTGCTGTATTACACGGACCCCGGAGGACCAGGGGTGAATGCGCCTGGGAACCCTGTGGCCATGGCTTTCCAGGTCCAGCCCAACTCGCCCCTGGGAGGCACGGCCTACCCGCCACCTCCTTCCTACTGCAACACGCCCCCGCCCCCCTACGAACAGGTGGTGAAGGCCAAGTAGCGGGCGCGCCCGGAGCCTGCCTGGGCGACGCTGCGGGGGCAGGGAGAGGCCTTTCCAGGCTGCCTTCCCCGTCCCCGTTCGCTTCCAGAATGATCTTATGAGCCGCTGAGGGCGAGTTCCTCTTTGATGTCTTCAAAGCAAGCACAGCTCCCTTTCAAGTTTTCCGTGGACGACCAATATTTGAAGCCACCCCGTATCCCTCTGTTTCTGATGTAATCTGTGCTCTGGCAGAGCGTGGACAGTCCCCAAGGGTTGACACCCTAGGGACCCTCCGGAGAGAGACTGAGAGGCGGCAAACAAGGCTGGCGTGTCCGGGGAGCCTGGGCGAGCGCACAGAGCGGCTTCCGCCCCCCTCCGTGGAACGAGGCCCTGGGGTCGGCTCCGTGAGCCCCTCATCCTGTCGTCTTCCTTTTCACGATGCTGCTAGAGAGACGTTTGCTGGAGAAGCCTTCCTGCATTTTCATCTCCCTCACCTGAAGGTGAAAGGGTCGCCCCCTGCTCACAGCCGGGGCTGGGAGAGGCTGTGTACAGCTGTCCGTGCAAGGGGATGGGCACCCCGAATTAGGCCACGTGGGGTGTCTGCAGTTATTTGAAAGTCACCAAGGAAAACTATTTAAATTCCTGGGAAGTCGCTCCCTGCCCCAGACGGGGCCCTGCATTTCACGGGCGCCTGGTCCATCCTGGGAAAAGCGTTTCCTCTTTCCAGTGCATTTGCGCAGCCCTGTCCTTTGAAAAGGTCAGCCTGAGCACGTGTCAGGCGACCAGAGGTCTCCGCACCCTTCCCCACAGCTTTCATAGAGGACACTTTCAGAGTGGAGAGGCACATCTGGCTGGGAGTCACATCGGCCCGTGGGGAGGGGCGTCCCGGCAGGGCTGTGGTCTGTGCGACCTCAGCAGCTGGGCGCTGGGCTCCTAAGAGGAAGCGCTTGCTGAGGGAAAGGCAGGAACGCAGTGTCTCAGGGCGGTAGGCAGGTCTCCCAGTCCCGACTAGGTTCCATGGACCCTTGTTCAAGGTCGGGGTGGAGGAGATGTGGCCGGCGAGGCCAGGCCTGTCTCACCCTGGGATCTGGCGAGCTGTCCCCAGCATCCTCAGCGTCGTTGACAGTGAGCGGGGAGGTTCTGTCTGTAGTTAGTGATGCTGATAGCGTAGTGTTTAAACCCAGAGTGACACCCGGTGGGTGGGCCAGGACGTGTAGGTCCCTGACGTGCAGCAGCGAGGTGGCAGGCTCGGTGGCGGGAGCTTGTTTTCAGGTGAACAAATTGGGGCCCCAGGAGAAACTTAGATGTGAGCACAGCGACAGTGTGTTGGAGTCGGTGCCGAGGGGTTTTCAATCCCTGGACCTCGGTGTCCCTGCTCTCCTGGGACGTCCCTATGGGCCAGAGTCCCTGCTCCTCCAAGGACGGAGACTCTGGGAGCCCCCAGGGGACCCCACGGGACACGCCCGGAGCCAAACCAGCGCCCCAGAGACGCGCTCTGTGAGCACAGACGCTGCTGCTGGTGTCTCGACCACCATCATGTGACCTCTGCCCTCCGGTCCCCGACCGCAGGACCTCCCCACGCTGGGCTCCTCCTCCGAAACGAGCCAGCACAGCACAGCGTTCGCTGCTGACGACCACGTGGCCCGGGAAGCTCCTCCTCCCCCAGGTCGCGTTTGCTGCGTTTTTAACGTCTGCGTTTGCTGCATTTTTAATGTCCGCGTCTCCCTCGCGTCTTTAAGGACCCAGTGCCCGAGGGCCGCCCGGCTCGGGGTCAGACGCGGCTGAGCAGGTGCCCACGTCCGCGACGGAGTCCGCTTCATCCTTTTTGATAGCAAATGATCTTAAGAGACTGGACGGTGTAGGCAGCACTCGACCACTTGGTAGTTCTGTGTTTGTGTTGGACACGTCCCCTTTTCCCTCGGAGCCCACGGGGCGCCTGCTCACGCCGCCCGCACTGGCCCCGGGTGTGGCAGGCGGTTCCCGGCCATTCTCGTCTCCTCTGTGCGGCCCGTGTGGCGTGCCCGCCGCCCCGAGGGAGGCCGCTCCTGGCACATCCGAGTCCCAAGGGGTCAGTGGTCAGAGGTGAACTTGGAGCAGATCTGTGCATGTTTTTTTCTCCGCAGCGTCAGGCTCATTTCTCTTTTCTGTACTCTTTTGATAGAGTCCTGTTTCCTATGTACGCAAAATAAAAATAAATTTGGGCACGTGCGTTTTTCATTTTGCGGGGAGTGGGGAGGAGGGTGGAGGTGACGTTCCCAGTGGGGAAGCACCTGCTGCGGGTCATGAGTTCAGCCAGGTGGGGGCCGGGCGGGCGGGAGATGTACCCCATCTCGGGAGAACCGGAAGCTGATGCTATCAAAGAATGTAGGGAGCCTTTAGTTCACCAACACATTGTAAAAATCTAGCTAAAGAGTAACCCGAAGCAGGAAGTAGGAAGTGTTAGTTAGGCCGACTCACAGCCAACGCTGACCGTCGCTGTCCAGGGCCTGGATCTGCTTCCCACAGGTAGGTGAGCCTTGGTTTTAAAACCCAGCTCCGCTTGGTCGACAGCTGTGTGTGTCTCACAGGTCTATTGAAGGACATAGTGGCTGCAGTTAGGCTGCGATTCAGATGACTCTCTGGTGGAGATGACGTTTGTAAAGAAGCGTTTTGTGATTTGCTTCCTTAAAACAGATGAGCCGGGAGGGGCGAGCAGCTTGCTCGTGGTGAAGTCAGAGCTGAGTTACACGCCTTACCCAGGCAGCCCACAGGGTCATCAGCTTGCCCCAGCCATTTATAAGCCAAAGGCCATGGCTGGAGGTAGCAGCCCAAGGGCTGGCTCCCTTCTATGTAAACCCTCTCAGGTTTTAACTGAACTTTAAAAAAAGCAAGTGTACGTACGGCCGTGCTACCCTGAACACGCCCGATCCCGCCTGATCTCGGAAGCTAAGCAGGGTCGGGCCTGGTTAGTACTTGGATGGGAGACCACCTAGGAAGACCAGGTGCTGTAGGCGTAAAAAATAAAAAATAAGGGATTGTAAGCTGACAAGGCCCTTGCGATCTGTGAGGTCCACCAAGGGTTGCCTCACCTAAAAAATAAAAAAAGCAATAGTGGCTGTCGAGGCCCAAAAGTGCAGGAAGAGGATTTTCGAGTAGTTTCTGGAATAGAGGAAAAGAGATCTGAGAAGAAGCTGAACATGTGGCCGGGGCTGTGAGGGCTGCACGCTGAGGCCCAGCAGGTGCCGAGAACAGGCCTGGCCATGGGCAGGTGCCCTAGAGAACGTTCTAGACACCAGCTAGACCAGAGACCTTGTGTTCTCCCCCCGTCTCCCACGTAAACGGGGCAGCTGTCCGCAGGAATGAATGAGCCCGAACCCTGCTTTCTCATCTCGCAGAGGGGTGCTCTGCGTGGTAAGGTGCTGGGAGGTGAGCCGTTAGCATCATTATTTTATTTCGAAATGGGTTAGCTGTTTCTTAATGTATCATTCGATTAAAACATTCATAGTGTGGGCTGCCCTGGGTGTCCCACGAGCCCTGGAACTCGATCCACCATCGCAGGGCGGTCCTGCGCAAAGTGGAAACCCGGGGACCTGTGAGGAGCCGTGGCCCAGTCCAGCACGAGCCCGTCCTTTGGACATTTCCGCTGGCACCGGAGGGAAGATGGTCAGCCAAGGGTTCCGACTTGCACACCGGCCTTTCGACCCGGTCGCCTGAGCGCGTCTCAGCTAAAATGAGCCCTAATCATTCAAGTTCTCAACTCGAATACTCTTCGGTGCCAGAGGTGACATGCGAGGGCTCCGAGTGGCGTGGAGGCCACCGGCACCGTGGGAGACCGCGGGCTCTGAGGCGGCCTCGCTCGCGGCCTGTGGCTGTCGGTTCGCTCCGTGTCACCTTCAGTGACTCAGACGAGCTCGAGGCTCAGTTTCCTCAGCTATGAAATCGGGAGGACGCTGCCTGTCGCTTATACCAGGTTCGTACTGGGCACGTGGTGGACGTGCGACAACATGCTCAAACCCCTGGTTCTCCCTCGCTCCGTATTTCCCCGAGGAGATGGGGGGGCACAGTGGGGGTGAAGGCGACTTGCTGCCCAGCCCTTCGCCCTCTGTCAGGGGACCAGGCCTGTGGGGTGGGGGGAGGGAATTGGGCCACGGTTGCGTGCAGTCAGAGCCACGGGCGTCCCGTGCACCCCGCCGCCCTGCGCTCCCCTTCCCGTGCTGCTCGGTTTGCGGTGCTGGTGTGTGTGGCCCCGTGACGGGAGTGAAGCCGATCAGAGCGAGGAAGGCGACCCCCCAGCAGCCGTCCTGGTCATCCGGGGCGAGGTCCGTGAGCACCCAGGAGGAGCCACGAACTATACACAGTGTTAGGTGCGTTTATATTACTTTGGGAGTTTCTCGTGCTGTGCCTTGTCCCCCCACGACTCTTTGCGATAATTCTGCCTTGGACTGACAGCTGTGCGGCCCAGGAAGCCCTCCCCCAAACGCCCAGGTGGGTGCAGGGCGTGCCGTCTGCATGACGCCCCTCCCCTGCCGCCAGGAGGAAGGCGAAGGGACCGGCTGGGCCCCGTGCGTCTCCCCACTCCGAGGTGCCGTGGAGGTCCGGCGTGGCCTCCCCGAAGGCAGGCTCGTGGGCGGGCGTCACAGCATCCTTCTTCAGCAGTGGCAGCAGAGCCGCCGTCCCCTCTGTGGACTGAAGCCCCGGTCACTCGCACGCACCTGGCACGCACCTGTGTGCACCAGACATGGGGTTGACACCGCCCTCGTACCTTTGACGGCTGCCTGGGCACGGCCCCGCAGCGGGAACGGCCCCTCGTGGTCTGCGGGGTTCCCCGTCTTGCCTTAAAGCTTACAGGGGAGACGCTTCGCATGTGTGTTCTAGACCAGCGCTGTCATTGCAAACATGAGGTGAGCCAGAATCCTTAGCTTTTCATTAGCTACGCCGAAAAAGTGAAATTAATAACATTTCATCCAACACGTCAAAATGTCAACGTGCAGTAATATAAAGTGTATTAAGAAATGTGACACCCTCTTTTTCCATACTGTCTTCAAAGTTCAGCCTGCCTCTGACACCCACTCTCCACGCGTAGCAGCCACCTTGCAAGGGAGCAGTGACCCACAGGGCCAGCGCTGCCCTGTTGGACATTGTGCCACGAGAAGTCACTCAGCGCCTGCGTTGTTATGACGAGATCCCGTGAGCTTAAAACCACATTGATTATTAAAAGATTGACGGTAAAATTCAAACTCCTGTGACGTAGCTTACGGCTTTATCTTTAAACATCTGATTGTGCAGATTCCTGCAACAAAACTCGTTCTCACAGAACTCAGAAATTCCTGGAACAAGTGACCCGTCTCGGGAGGTCAAAGGGCGAGTTGCTTCCTGGAGCTGCTTGGGCCAAGCGTGCGCGTCGCCGCCCTCCGCTGCTGCCCAGCATTTCGTTCTAGTCTCCAGTGGTCAGTCCTGAAGTGGCGTCCAGGGGCGGCTAAGGAGCCCCCAGAGGAAGAGACAGCAGGTCTAGTGGGACGCTCCCGAGATCACGTGCTCTCGGGCGGGTAGATGACGCTAGGACCAGCCCTGAGGTCTCCTGTCCCAAATGTCTCCCCAGCCCCAATGTCACTCCTTCGGTTCTCACCAAGTCCTCCAAGGCAGCTCGGCTGGCCCTAGAAGGAGCGAGTTGCTATCGGCGACCGGAGGGAGGACAAGGCAGGAGCACTGCCACTTCCTGCCTGTCCCTGTCGGCAAGAACGTCCCAGCACGCCTGAGTGCGGGGGCACAAAGAACCCTGAGGCGCAGGTTGCAGGAATCACATCCTCTCATCAGAGTCCTCACCCCCAAATCTGCTGGCTGCGCGAGTGCCCTTGAAAAGTTTCCCCTCAGATGTGACGGTGCTGTACTCGGAGGTGTCCAGGACCCATCCGCCTGACACTATGACTGCTCCCTGGAACCCAGGTACAGAAGTGTGTGTGTGGGGGGAGGGGAGGGTTTTGGGGGGCCAGTGGGAGGGTGATGGGATCTCCGAGCGCAGAGTCTGGTGGGTGGGGGGGGCTCCCGTCTCCTCGGGAGGTCAGGCGGGTGGTCTCTCTGGCTGCCACTTGCTGCCCTTGCCAGGAGGGGTCCAGTGGCAGAGAGCCCTGTGCCTTCTCCTCCCTCCCTTGGAGAGACGCAAAGTGAGGCACTGCCCGTCCACCCTCAGTGACTCGGAGGTGGAGGAGGGTGGTCTGTTGGTCGCGCCTTCGGGCGATGAGGGCCCAGTGCTTTGAAGGCGTAGTGCACTTCTAGGCAGCGCTGGGGACACACGTCCACCTGGGAGCTCACCTGCGCTCTCCTGCAACCCTCACGCAGGCTGGCTGCCCCCCGTGTCAGCCCCTGTCCTGGAGAGGTCAGGATGGAGGAGGGACAAATGCATGACATGCTGCTGGGTAGGAGTCAGGGCCAGCCAGCCCCTGGGTGCTGAGCCTGCATCAAAACCCAGCCTGGGGGTCATGGGACCTCCTGGTGTTTCAAGCCCCCCGGATTATGGAAATGTGTAGAGCAGCACAGGAAATGGATACAGAGAGGGACCGAGACCTGCCAACAGCAGCACCAAATAGCCAGGCGGGTGAGCCATCGCGAGGGTCTCCCTCCAGCTGCAGGTGACATCTTGACCGACCTCATGTGAGACCCAGAGGCAGATCGGCCCAGCTCAGGTGCTCTTGAATTTCTGTTCTGTGGAAACCGTTTACTGTTATTTTCACCCACTGAATTTTGGGGTAATTTGTTACTCAGCGATAGATCACGAATACTGCAAAGATCTTGGGGGGAAGGCGTACCTTTGAATGAATGAATAAACCCATGTTGTTATTTTTTATAAATCGTATACTCTGGTCTAGAGCTCCGATAATGGTGTGGATGCTTGTCCTGCAGAGTTGACTTAAATTAGAAGTGGTTGCACTGAAATGGTGGTTTGGGGGAGCAGCATGGCCTCAGGGGGTGTTGAAAGACGGGACTCGCATTCCACAGGGCACTGAGTCCGAGCCTGTCACACCCCGTGACTTCCCCTCCCCTGAATGCACTGCCTGGCTTAGGGTTATTCCCAAGAGGCACAGCTCCCCCTGCCCATCTCATTCCTTCTTGCCCACCACTTGTCCCACATGTCAGTGTCCTGGATGTCCAGTGTCCTCTCCAGGCCACTACTTCCCATGGTCCCCATCTCAATTAGGTCCCAATGAGGGCAAACATTTTAAAAATACAT